CAAAACCATTATACCCTGATTTCCCATTTTCAATGGGTTCAGGGTATAAAAACTGGAACGGTGGAATTTAGCGGAACATTTTGATTAAATATTTAAATATTTATGTATATGTTGACATGGAACATAAAACAGTATCATGTAGATAAATAATATCTATGGAACAGTGAAATATGAAACACTGTGATTAAAAAAGTAGAAACAAAAATAGTTTATGATTTGTACAAGCATAAATACTATGTGGAACAGTGGAATTGAGTGAAACTATAGCACTAAATAATATGACAAAATGTATTTAGTTGTGATGATATAATGCTCAGCTTAGACAAACAAGGTTAGCCAGCAATCAGACCGTCTGCTAGATGCGATGATGTAGGTAATGATGGGCAGACAAGATAAACAATTCAGCTTGGGTATGACTCCCCATGGCTGTGGCACGTTCTGCTACTTACCACGCTCTCCTCGTCGCACAGATCGAGGGCCGCCCATGGACTGCGGTAGAAGCAGCGCTCGAGGCGCTGCAGCAGCTGCGGCGAATGCTCCACAAACTGTGTGCTGTTCGCGTTGCGGCGTATAAAGATGAAATTATCGTCAAACAGTTGCGGCGTCTGGCGCAGCTTCAGTTCAGCTTCCACAGTGCCGGCTGGCGAATGCATTTGAATTAATTAAATTATTCGCATAATGAGTGCACCCTGCAGGCGCAACTGGAGCAGCACGAGCAGAGCGAGAGAGAGAGAGAGAGTGTGTGTGTGTGGGTGTCTCTCTATGCGTATGTGTGCTTGTGTGTGTGTGTGTTTGTGTGGCATTTCAACTTACCTTCGGCCGCACTGCGACGCCTACGCGAATGCTGTGGCTGCTGTTGCTGCTGTTGCTCCTGGTGCACATTGCGCCGCTCCAGCTGCACCAATTTGAACTCAGGCACTGAACGTAAAATAAGCAAACAGGTAAAATGCAATAGCTAAATGCAAAGTGTGCATTCCATGAATCAATAATCATAAATAATGACGACCAACAAATCTGCGCATTAACACGCCCCCACAAATTGCGTCTTCGGCTGCAGCCTCTGGGCGGCGTCCCCCTTGCAATTACACTGGACAACAAATTGCTGTACTTAAATAAATATAATACTAAGGCATCTGAAAATGTTTATTATTATATACAAGCATATTTAAAATTATAAACATACATATATCTATAGATAATATTGTGCTATGAAGTATATTGGGGTCTACTGAGAGCTTAGAATGTTAACATTATCTCTCTCTCTATTAGACTAACTCTATCTATCTTTCTCTCACTCTCTACTCTCTTTCTGTCTGCTTATCTCTTACTCTCCCTCTCTCTCTTTCTCTCTTTGTCTTTCTCTCCGCCTCTCCCTCTCTCTTCTTCTCTCTTTCTTCAAAGATCAGCTCCTAAGTAATCTCTTTAGATTTATACACACATTTGCCTGCCTTGAAACATCATTCTGATGTCTAGTGTAATATTTAAAAGTTTGTTTTCCTCATTTCGCCTATTTACCCGTCAGCACTTGGCATTGATCTTAAGCCCAGTCCAAAAAGAAGTCAAAGGCAGCCAGAGAGAACTTCAAAAAGAAGCCAAAACTTTCCACAACTTTAAACTTTGGTATTTAAGCCCCGTGCCCGATGCCCCTTGGACCGCCCTCCACCCGGTTGGCCCACTCGAACTAGGTTAACTGGTCTGATGTCAGCTGTGGCTAATCTTTCCAATCGGTTGCCCTGCCCGCCACAGAAATAGAACTTACCTGACGTGGTGCCAAAGAGCAGAGTGCGTTCATGGCCCGCCAGCTGCTCGAGCAGCGCGTTCTCGTCCAGCTGCAAAGAGTAAGAGTAAATGGGTGTTCGGTGTTTAAGAAATGCTAGCAAATGTGTAACACGACGCAGCAAAGCGTAAAAAGAGCTGAGCCATTGGCCCAAAAGGGTTGTCTACTGGCAGCCAGAAACCAAATACCAACAAAAAATAAAAAAACACACAGAAAATAATAAAAAACACTTTCACTGCACGCAACAATAGAAAATTAGTTTAGGAAAAAACCCATTACGTTTTTCATTTTCATTTGCATTTTCTTCAACTGCTCCCGAAACTGAAACTTAAATGGGGGAAAATTAAGTAGCTGCTTTAAATGCTCATTGTTATCGCTTATCGATAACAGAGCGTCATTCATATGCTTGCGTAAATTGCCCAACTACAACTTCCATGAAGTAACGGGTTTTATAGCTAATTAGATTATCTGTTTATGGTTATCGATAACAGTTTCTTAACTTCATTTAAGAGTTGTGATTTATAATCACGTTCTTTAGCTCTGCTTGACATCAGAAAGGTCATATGAGCTCAGTAACTGTCAAAAGCTTCATCTATATCGTTTAGCTAAATGTTATCGCTTATCGATAGCTGCCAAGTATTCCATACATATTGATATACTACCCATCTCTTTTATTTTTATTCTTAATACACTTTTATTTACCACCAACAGCAAAATAATGCAATGAATTGAAGAAAGTGCTCATACTTATCGACTATCGATAATTGCCACATATTCAAATATTCATTTTCTACTGATATTCATTTGAAAGTAACTTTTTTAATATTCTTTCAGTTCTACGCAAACTTACTAAAATAGGTCAACCAACCGCAGACTCATAAGGCTCATCGTTATCGTTTATCGATAATTGCCTATCGCATATGCATACTTATCTTAATTTAGAGGCTGTGCGTGTGCCCCTTTTTGTGATGCTATTATTTCATTTCATTTGTTGTTACATTTTTGGAAAAGCGCGTCGATGGGCGGCGATGCGTGAAGAGCGCTTCGCTGAGCTCCAATGGCTGTAGCTCGTGTCACGCCCCCACCCCACCTGCAAAGGTGTTGCACAAATTGCTGTGGGCGGTTTGTCTATGGCAAACAGAAAACAATATTGTTGAAAGGGGGCGTGGCTGTGGGAGTATTCGATTGGAATGAAATGCGATTAAGTGGCAATTGAGAGGTTTGAAGATCTACAAGGAAATTTGTTAATAAGATGAAGAGAAGAACGCGGATAGGAAGTATATTTGAACATACATATATTGGAGTAATTATGGATTAGATTTATTATATGTTGTCTATCTTTAATATATATTGTTATCGATAAACGATAACAAATCGTTTTACTGCAGAGTTTTACAAGTTTTACTATATTCCATTGAACGTAAAAATATATACTACATACATATATGAATAAAAAAGTATCTCCGATAACTTTCTGTAAGACAATCGATAGCTCTGCGCTTGCACTCACATGGCAGGGCTGTCATTCAGGCATTCACTCAACCACTCATCCACTCATTAGCTTTGTGTTTGAGTGCATTCAAACAATGTTCAATAAAACGACACTAATTGACGGCAAGGGCAACAGCATAAAAGACCCGACCATCCATGCCGGAAAGCAAAAAAAAATAGAGAAGAGAAGAACAACAACAAAAATAAAGCGTGGAAATGGAAGTGGAAATTGGCTGCAACAGCATTTAGAGTCGAGTCGAGTCGAGTACTCGAACTCCAGCTCCAGCTCCAGCCCGAACTGCCATTCGGATTCGCACTCGATGCTGAACGCTGTAATCGCCCGCTGGCTGATTATGTGATGAAATTTTGCGTGACCCGTGGATGGCAAAAAAAAGAGGGGAAAAAACAAGTAAAAAAGCACAAATAAATAGAGGCAAAATTGTAAAATAAACAAGAAAGAAAATGTACGACAAAGGGCTGAAATTAAGTCACAGAAAATCGACGGCAACTAGGCGAGGGCAAGGCAGGAGCAGGGCGGCATGTGAAGTCGACGTCGAAGACTTGAGGGTTCTTCAACTGCGACGGCGATGGCGACTCGACTTGTGTATTCGCAACTAATTTTCAGTTGGGTCAATAACTTGGCTAAGAAAAGCTCTTGCCACGCGCTCAGCTATAAAATTTAGCAGCTGACAAAAGTCGCGCCACACTTATTGTGCTGCGCGACCCCCCTCTAAATGCTGACGCAGAGGATTTTTGGTTTTTTGTTGCTATATTTTGTTGGATGTTTCAGACAAATCGTGCAATGCATTCTGGCGAGAAATGTACGAGGGTGGGATGAAGAGTATGATATAGATTATGGGATATGATTTGATATGATATGATATATACTATATATCATTTGTTCGAATAGAGAACATACATATATCATATAATATTTAGGATATACCACTTAAAATATGTCACGACATGTCTCACATTGATATACCACATTTTATTAAATAACACATTATATATAACAGTTAAATTACGACATTAGAACTTATAAAACATATGGAATATCAAAAGTAATTCGCACTTAGGCCTTTGATCATATACAACTAAAAGTATTCCCAGCTAATAGAATGCATTCTTTAGTTGATAAACACCTCAAACTACCCTCGTCATAGTCAAATTGTCAAATCGTCAGCTGCAAAATAGCTCATTCGACTTGTTAGAGACGGTTGGACGCCTTCTGGGCAACCCGAAATACAAATTTTTCTGTCGCTGACTGAAAATCTCAACGCTGAGGCCGCTCATCAAATCGTGTAATTTGACTTGTTCGACAAAAGTTTACAGTTTTTATTTCTTGGTGTTAAGTGTGTGCAATTTTTATTATGAGACCAGCTGCGGGACCAGACCGCATTGAGGAGAGTGAGACTGACTAGGAAATACTCAGTATGTATCATATCGAGTTGATGACTCTCATTTATTATTGTTATAGGTAGAGCTATGTAACAACATTTATTTTTTTAAAATTAATAAGCATTAAAAAGCCTCCATACCAAACTTTATAGGTCTACCTCTAAAAGTCTTCGAGTTATAAAGAAATAAACATGAACATCGATATGTATGAGTGCAACTAATAATAAAATTCAAACACGCATAAAAATGATACATAATATTCTACTCATATACCCCATAGAAAAACTCCCTTTCAGCCCGTTACATGCTCAGCCTATAAACCTACATACCCTACTTAAACATTTCTGCAAATATTCCCAGCACTGGGTAGAGGTCATTAAACGCTTCACATTTCAACTGCACTTGTTCCAAAAATTGTTACACAGCCACGCCCAGCGCCACGCTCCCCGGCCCCGTTCCCGGCCGTATAGAGTGCCTATGCAGGCAATTATTAATGAATCACGCTTCAGTATTCTCTTGCAGCGTTTGCATGGTCAGCACTCGGTGTGACACAGACAAGAATCACCTGATTCGTTAGTGGGTTACATATGATACGATATGAGGACGAATGACGAAGTGACGGCAAGTGACAAATGACATGAATCAATTAGAAATATGCAATTCGAATCGCGACAATAATTACCTCAATGCCATTGAAGCGAACGCTGCGCCTGCGCCGCAGCTCAATGTGAACGGCGTTGGCGTTGGCGTTGGCGTTGGCGTTGACGGCGGCAGAGGCCAGTGCTGCCCAAGTGTCCAGCCATAAAGCTGCTGTCAAGACAATTAGGCACAAACGATAACGATGCCGATGATGATGACGATGACGATAACGATTAATTGGCTGATTAGCCGCAATTGTAGACATAACGACGCGTTTATTCAAGTCGACAACAATTAAGCTGCTTGTAATATACTATTTACATTTGATGTTCACAAATTGCATTTGTTGCAAAATTTATGCAGTAAAATTTTGTTGGATTTATTTCTTTATTTTGTTATTCTGCTGCGCAAGCTAATTTAAACTGCGTATTTGCGTCATCATTTTTTGTTTTGGTTTTTTTTTTTCCTTTATTTTGTTACATTTTCTGCACTGCAACGAAAAAATATAACATAAATAATAATAATACTTGTTCGGTTTTTTTTTTCGCCTAAATTTCGTCGATTGCAGCAGTAGAAGGAGAAGCAGAAGCAGCGGGGCAGAGAGAGGGAGAGAGAGAGAAAAGTGAATGCACACAGCCAGGCTTTTGCGGTAGTTAATTTAACTTTTTTATGCACTAATTAATTGCTAATGCTCGCTGTTGTTGCTGCTGCTGTTTGCTTGGCTTTACTTTGGTTTTTAGTCTACTTTCGTAAATTGAGCAGTCAAATGCAAGTTTGTTGCTTAAGTCGTTTGTGGCTTTCGATGACGTTAGATTGTATAGAATTTCAATTGGTCGTGCGTTAGCCGATAGTTGTGGTGATATGATAACGATAGAAGACTGAAAGGGTTAACACTTCAGAGTAAAGTTCGAAAGGCGCTTGCTGGCGCTGGATATGTTAAGGACAGCAGCGGGAATTTTTGAAGAATTCGGTCACACTAAGAAATGTTGTGCCTTGCAGCAGCTGATTGCTGTGGAAAAATGTTAAGGATAACAGGCGAACGAGAGATCACACTTAACAGAAGCTTGGCCTGTTTGGAATTCTGTTAAGGATAACAGAGGCACGAGAGATGGAAGCTTAACAGAATAAAAGCATGTTGTGTAGCCTGTATGTGGCTGCGCTATTCTGTTAAGGACAACAGACGCTAGTCATATGTAGATTTAAGTAAACTTGAAGTTTGGTCATACTGAAGTGCTCCGGCGACTTGCAAGTCCTTTGGCTTTTTAATTAGATTCTTCAGCTAGGTCACACTTGACAGACTTCAGCTGCTTAGCACTTCCTTATTGCTGTAGAGATATGATAACAGATAACATTGCCAAGTAATTTGTGTTATTTTAAAGTATGGCCGCACTTCAGATTGAAAGCGCCTCGCACTTCCTGTTTTCTTTACACAGCCGATAACGATAACAAAAGCTAAACGCACTTCAGATCATAAACAGCCACAAAAGGCAATTAAAAATTTCTTTATTTAAATAAATGTTGGATTTATTTTGATAGCTCTTTTTTTTATTATGGATTCATTTAGTTTTATTTGAGCATCAAACACACACGAAAACACCGCAGCAGCTGCTCTCAAGCAGAACATTTGGCGAGCACAATTTATGATTTTTATTACACTTTTAACAGACTTTTTGGATAAATCAAAACTGAAACTGAAACACGGCTTTAGTTTGCCCAGCTGGAGGTCAGCTCAATTGATTTTTGAAAACTTTATTCTTCTTCTTCTGTTTTTATAGTTGAGCTAAAGAAGAATCACAGCGAAGCGCGAACGATCGTCTACCGAACGGGGAAAAAGATGTTTTCACGGCAGCGAAACATTCGCGAATGACGAAAAACTCACGAGTGCGGAAAACTTTATTCATGCCACGAACGGCACAGAAATTTATATGCACGCGCTCTCTCTTTCTCTCTCTCGCTCTCCCTCTCGCTCGAGCCCTCTGAAGTTTTGAAGATGAAGCTATATGCTAATGAGTGGAGCGAACGAACGGAAAGGAACAATAGAGAATGGCACCGTTAAGCAAAGCAGCCGAAAAATTAGCAGCAAAAAAAGAATCGTAGCAAGTGCAGAGAACGCCAATTGTTGTTTTTTCGCTCTTTTTTTTGTGGCCAGACGAAAACTTGACACTGATCATCACAGTGGAGTAGAGAAAAAAAAGAACAAAGTAAGAATTATGCTGCATTTCCGCTGTGCTTGTTGAAGGAAATCTTAAATCAACAATGCAAATGCAACAAGTGCTAAATTGTAAGCCGAAAGAACCTTTGCAAAATGCCAGCCGATTGAAGTGATCAGCATTTAATTGATGCAATCACTCACGAGGAACAGAAGAAAAAATAAAAACAATAACATCACTAAATCAACAACTGGCGAAGAAAAACTCTTATAAGAACCTATTAAAATTAACAATGCATTCAAATCCAACGGCTATATCAAATAGTAGCTGCTGGGCAGCACTTTTTGTCGACTGACAAAAGCTAAATGCTACAGCGTTGCTTCTCATGTGCGGCCCACAGCCGGTCACACTTAAGCGGCGGACGTTCTGCGCCTAACACCAGCTGGTCACATTATTTTCATTACCTGGCGTGCATTTCAAATCCAAACGGCAGCGGCTTGCGTTCGCATCTTGCGCAGAGCTCGGAAGACTCCAAAAAAGTTAAATTTATAATTTCGAATAAAAGTAGCAATCGTTGAAATATATACATACATGTTAGAATAAAATTGTGCAATCGAATACAGGCTACAAAACAAATAATACCAAAAATTTCAACAATATATTTTTGCGTTCAATAAAGGAAACGAAATCAACGCGCTCAAGTACAAAAACCCCTAAATTAAAGCATTTTCGTCGATAAATAAGTAAAAAGAAAAAAACAGCAACAAAATGATGAGCACAGCGCCTAAAATGATCATGGACGAGGTAAGCAATAGTTATTAGCATTTTTAATCTGGAATTTTAGCAGGCTGCGTTAAGCAGCGTCGCAGTCGCCGCCGCCGCCATTGCAGCGTCGCCGTTGAGCGCATAAGAGAGGGGTAAAAATGCCGTTTGCCTGGCATTGCTGTTGTTGTTGCTGGTGCAGCGGTATTTGCGTTTGGCGCTTTTTTCGGTACTTGCTGTCGGTAATGTTGCGGTACTCTAGTACCGCTACTTTTACATCCAACTCTCTGAGCATATCGCCCTTTTACAAAATGGCCGCCCATGCATTGACCTCTTGCAAATTATTTCCATGCTTGCAGAATGCAACGGAGAAATACAATCAAGTCCAAGTGAAGAAATTGACAGTGCCTTCAAACGAGGCAAACACAAAGCGCGCCGCATTCGGCGATCTGCAAAATCGTGGACTAAATCGTGGACTGATATCCAAGGAAGCGGCACAAAAAGAGTGAGTGGTGAAAAAATTAAAAATATGTTTAATAAAAATTAAGTGAATTTAAAATATAATAAATAAACATAAAATAAAATAATAATAAGTTTGTTGAATAAATAAATAATATAAAAATAATATATATAAACAATTCAAAATAAATGCAATAAAATTCTTTGCAGATTGAAAGATGTAAAATTGACCAAGGCGCGTGTGGATACCCACTGGAAGAAGCAGCCGTTGGGCTTAAGCAATGCCAATGCCAATGCTAATACTAATGCTAATGGCAATGCCAATGCAGCTGCTGCCACTAAGTCAGCAGCCGGTCCACTCCTGCGCTCCAACTCGATGCGTACAAATTTGGGTCAGATTGGACGCCAAATCTCTGGCCGTACGGCTGCAACGACAACAGCCACTGCAAAAGTGGCCGCCGACCCGAGCAACAAGCGTAAGTATCCGGTAATAAAAAAAATTGTGGCCCCAATTCGAGCTCGTCTTCCTGCAGTTGCCAAACAAAAGTCCATTTCCGACGAGAAGGTGAACACGCTGCGGCGCGAGGATAGCAATTTGTCACGCAAATCCCTGACCAAGCTGCGCGCTGCATTGGCCAATCCCACGGCAGCAGCAGCGGCAGCTCCAACAGCAGCAGCAGTAGCAGTTAAGAAGGAGCCACTGGTGCCCCGTGCTCAGCCACGCACTGCGGCCAACGCGCTGGCCCTGAAGAAGGAAGCGGCTGCTGCTGCTGCGGCTGTTGCTGCACAGCCCAAGAAGGAGATTGCAATCCTCTCAAAGCTGCCATCCAAGCTGCGAGTCGCTCCAGCCGCTGCCCCAAGCCAGACTTCGTCGATGTCCTTGTCCACCAAACGCTTGGAGGTGGAGGACATTGATGCCGATGATGGCGAGAATTTGGTTTTGGTCTCGGAGTATGTCAACGATATCTATGATTATCTCTATAAGCTGGAGGAGGAGCAGCCCATCTACCCGGATCATTTGGCCAACCAACTGGAAGTTTCTTATAAAATGCGCGCTGTGCTCATCGACTGGATAAACGAGGTGCATTTGCAGTTCCATCTGGCGGCGGAAACTTTCCACTTGGCCGTGGCCATCATCGATCGCTATCTGCAGGTGGTCAAGGATACCAGGCGCAAATATTTACAGCTGGTGGGCGTGACGGCCTTGTTTATCGCCACCAAATACGAGGAGCTGTTCCCACCGGCCATTGGGGACTTTGTGTTCATTACGGACGATTCGTATACGGGTCAGGAGATCAGGCAAATGGAGATGCAAATACTGAAGGCCATCGATAATAATCTGTCACGTCCATTGCCCATACACTTCTTGCGGCGCTTCTCGAAGGCGGCCAGCGCCGAGGATGAGCATCATGCCATGTCCAAATACCTTTTGGAGCTAGCTAGCATGGACTACGAGCTGGCCAGCTACAAGCCCTCTGAGGTGGGTGTTGGCTGAAGCATCATCTGTGTATACTAAATCTATATAAATATCAAATACTTCCTTCACAGATTGCTGCAGCTTCGCTCTTCCTCTCGCTGCACTTGCTCAATGGCAATTCGCGTGCGGCCACCGGATTTAGCGACAGGCACTGGACGCCCACATTGGTGCACTATTCCCGTTATACGGCTGCCTATTTGCGTCCGATTGCACGACAGATTGCGAAATTGGCTCGGGATGCGCCCACGGCCAAGTTGAGGGCCATCTACACCAAGTACCAGGCGAACAAGTTCCAGAAGATCGCCTTGCGTCCGGAGCTGAGCAGCGCGTTGTTGGACTCGATTGTGGGCAAGAAATAGTTGAAATTAGCCAGAAATACACACACACACACACCCACCCACTCACAGAGGGAGAGTGAGAGAGAAATAATAGCTCAACCCACACATCCACCGCCCAGCAGTTGGCGTTGATATTGACTGCAATTCACGTTTAGTTCAATTTTTTGTTTCCTATTTTAAATTTGTGTAATTTCTCTTGCTCGTTCTTTATATTTGTATGTGAATGTGAGTGTGAGCGTGTAATTGATTAATAATTGTGCATAATTGAGTATATTTAATCGTAGTTAACCCACCCCCCTTCAGTTTACCCCCCAACACTCCCCTAACATCTATATATCTATACATATAGTATAACCGGATCCAGCGTCAGACTCGGCAACATTTTCATCGTTTGGGTAAAAGTTTGCTTGAGTTTTGTTCTTCTGGTCGACGTTTTCCCACTCCCCCCTCACCCCTACTGCTACTATATATATGTTATATATATATATGTGTATGTTTGTATGTAACTTGTTTTTAACAATGAGCCCTCAGAGAAGATAAGCAAGAAAAAAAATAGAAGGAGAAAAAGAGATAAACCGGTGAGCAACGGGCGCATTTGCTGGCTAAAGATATCGGCGTTGCCTCTCAAAGTATTTTAAGTTACTTTCTCAAAAAGACAAAAAAAAATCACAAAAAAAAAAAAACAAAAAGAAAATAGAACCCGGCAACAAATACGCCATTTTTATATGCAGATTATATTATATTTAGCTTAAGCAATTTGGATTTGGAAATTGTGCTCTATGTATTAAATAAAATTTTTAATATAAATATTTAACAAACAAAAATCCATTAAAAATTCAATTAAAATGCAATTTTGCAAACATTTCACATGAAACAAGAAACCCGCCAAGTTATTTCTTTCTAACTATCTTTTTGCCCTTTCCAGTAATTTTTGTTCGTCAGCGGAGTCTGTGAGAAAGTTGAAAATTAAAGCGTAACAAAGAGGCAAAGAATACAAAAATGTGATACGCCGCGACCCCTGCGGCCCTTATCAACTGCCAAACATACAGCACAAAAACAACAAAACTCATACAAAGGCTCGCCTTGCGTCTTGGCATTTGAGTTTTGCAGTCTCTTCTTTGAGATCGCAGGTCAGTAATTTCCCGCCCTTATATTTCTTCTCAAACTTCGTTTGCTGGCTGGAACATGTGTGAGCGCGTGAGTGTATGGGTGTGTGCGTGATTGCTTTCGCTCGCTCGCTCTCTCTCTCTCTCTCTTTGTCTTTCCGTTGTTCTTGCGTTGGTTTATGGCAATTGCCTGGGCAGCGCTTTGGCTCAACGCCGGCAGCGACGTCGGTATTGTCTGCACGCGCACGTGTATGTTAATGTGTTGCGTGCGCGTGCGAGAGTGTGTGTGTGTGTAGTGTGTGAGCGGGTGTCTGTGTGTGTGTGTGTGTATGCGTATGACCGAGAGCTCAACTGTGAGTGCGAATGGCGGCGACTGCGCTGCGCTCGCTGCTGGGGCTTCTGTTCGCCTGTTCGAAATTCAAGTTTGACGGTTTTATAGCGCTCATTAATTTCGACACTTTTACGAGCAAACAAATGCAATAAAAAGAAAGAAAGCGGAGCAGCAACGGCAACAGCAGTGGAGTGCCGCTTAGGCGTTGTCTCTCGCTCTCACTCTCTCTCTCTCGTTTGACAAATCGCAGTCATTTTTTGTGAGCCCCTCGACAGGAGTCGACAGTCCTGGATTTGGGCATCTGCAGTCGACTGAACCTTGCGCCCTTTTCTGCTTGGCTGTTACCCAAATATGCAGAGCGTGAAACGGCGGCTAGTGAACTGTGACCAGACCAGACTCAGTTTATTTGTCGTCCTTGCCCAGGTAGTTGCCGCAGAGCAGATCCTGCTGCGCTGCGGCACGGCCACTGCAAAAGGTTGTGAGACGAAAGAGAGACAAAGCAGAGCAAGAGAACTGCAGCAACAGCTGCTGCTGCCCAACGGATCAGCTGAGACTGTGCACAGCTTAGCGTAAAGGACCTCGTCCTGTCTGGCTGTCTGTCTGGTGTCTGCCTCTGACAGCATTTCAATTAGCAACATCTTTTGGTCATTGTTTACCTAGGACATCCGAAAAGGTGCTATGGGAATGTCTAGCAAGATATTAGAGTTGGGCTTACTTAAGGTGAGCTAAGTTGATTTGCGTTTGGGGGGATTACGAGGAACCTATATTAAGCAATACATATTTTAGCAGAGTAAGAGTTAAACCTAACTATAAGATGAAGAGTAGTAGAGTAAAAGAGGAGTAGTTTTACCCAGAAATACTACCCAAAACTGTTGTATTAGGCTTTGAGACTTTTTATATTGCCCTCAAGAGAGCCCAAGAGTGAAGAATTTTTTAAACGATTTGTAGACCAATCAACTATGTATGTATGTGTGTTAAGTTCAAATTGTAGTTCAGCTCTGTTTCAGCTATCAAATATATGAGAAATATATTCCAGAAATAAACTCAACTTCAACTAAAATAGAATATGTAAACCAAATCGGAGCAGCTTCAACTATTGCCAACTGCTTAAATGAAATAAATTTCTTCTCCAACTAAGCAAATAGCAGGTGAATATACATATATAGTTAATAGTGCCATCGTATGATTAAGTTAATTATAGTATCGTTTTTATTTTCATCGTTTCACAATCATCCACAAACTTTTCATTTTCGACTATTCTCGATTACAATATGTCAAATATTGATTATAGATTTTTAAACAGTATTATTTTTTAAGTGGGGGGGAAGTGTGGCTAATGCTGAAATTCGAAGTGGCATCCGTTCGCTGAGACGCCTCTCCCGTCCGTCCCGCTCTCTCTCCCAAGTGTGTGGCAAAGGACAAAACGCGAGAGGTGCAGCAAAGGAAAACATGAATGCGCAAAGGTTTTTTTTTCATTAAGTTTTATAATTTTTATGTTGTTTGTATTTTCTTATGGTGTATAGAGTGTTGGTTTTATCTTTCCGACGATATTGTTGTTGCTCATCATCGACGCGCAGTTGGGCAGTTTCAAATCAATTATTAACGCTGCTAGCGGCTTAGACAGTAATTTATTTATTAGCTTGAAAGGAGTTGTTGGTGGTTTCTGCTCCATATCTAGGATATGACTGCACGTTTCGGCTTCCATTGTTGTTGTTGTTGTTGCTTAACCCTGGAAGGTGGACATGAACTTCTGGACAATGTCCTTCAGCTTGGCATCGGCAGCCTCAGAGATCTGTCCCTCCTTGGCAATGCTGTCGAGCAGACCCTGCTCGGAGGTCTTGATGTGCTGCAAGAACTCCTTCTCGAACTTGGTGATCTTTGAGGGATCCATCTTGTCCAAGTGACCGCGCACACCGCAGTAGATGACAGCGACCTAGGTGTGGGTGGGGAGATATAGAGAGTATAGTGCTATCAGTGTTATCTGAAGTACAGCATGATATTTATACCTGATCCTCAATGGACATGGGCACATACTGGCCCTGCTTGAGCAGCTCAGTTAGGCGCACACCACGGTTCAGCAGCTGCTGGGTGGCAGCATCCAAATCCGAACCGAACTGGGCGAAGGCAGCGACCTCACGGTACTGGGCCAACTCCAGCTTCATGGAGCCGGCAACCTGTTTCATGGCCTTGGTCTGGGCAGCGGAACCGACACGGGACACAGACAGACCCACATTGATAGCGGGACGGATACCCTTGTAGAACAACTCGGTTTCCAAGAAGATCTGACCGTCAGTGATCGAAATGACGTTGGTTGGAATGTAGGCGGACACATCACCGGCCTGGGTCTCAATCACGGGCAGGGCGGTCAGTGAACCGCCACCCATAGCGGGGGACATCTTGGCGGCACGCTCCAACAGACGCGAATGCAGATAGAACACATCACCGGGGTAGGCCTCACGACCAGGGGGACGACGCAGCAACAGGGACATCTGACGGTAGGCAACAGCCTGCTTGGACAAATCATCATAGATGATCAGGGCGTGCTTGCCCTTGTCACGGAAGAATTCACCCATGGCGCAGCCAGAGTAGGGAGCCAAATACTGCAGGGGAGCGGCATCAGAGGCGGTGGCAGACACAATGATGGTGTATCCCATGGCGCCGGAGTCAGTCAGACGCTTCACAATCTGGGCGACAGTGGAACGCTTCTGGCCAATGGCAACGTAGATGCAGTACAGTTTCTTCGACTCATCCTGGCCGTCGTTGAAACGCTTCTGGTTGATGATGGTATCAATAGCCAGGGCAGTCTTACTGTAAATTGGAAATATAAATGGATGAGTGACCAGTAATTGAAGGAGGAGAAGGTATCCACAAGGCGTTCACTCACCCAGTCTGTCTGTCGCCGATGATCAACTCACGCTGACCACGACCGATGGGCACCAGGGAATCGACGGCCTTAATGCCAGTCTGCATGGGCTCGCGCACAGACACACGAGGAATGATGCCGGGGGCCTTGATGCCGACACGGAAACGATCCTTGGTGTTGATGGCACCCTTGCCGTCAATGGCATTACCCAGAGCATCGACAACACGGCCGAGCAGCTCATCACCGACGGGGACATCGACAATAGCACCAGTACGCTTGACAATATCGCCCTGCTTGATCAGCTTGTCGTTACCGAAGACGACAACACCGACATTGTCGGGCTCCAAATTGAGGGCCATGCCCTTCAAGCCCGAGGAGAATTCCACCATCTCATCGGCCTGGATGTTGTTCAGACCATACACACGAGCGATACCATCACCAATGCTCAGCACACGGCCAGTCTCTTCCAGATCGGCCTTGGGTGCAACGCCGAGGATTCTCTCCTCCAAAATGTTGGAGATCTCAGCGCTGCGCTGTGTGCTGGCCACATGGAATTTGCGGGCAGCAAGAGTTCCAGCTGGATATGCAGCCTTGCAGGCAACCTGTGGAATAGATGCCAAACGCATTAGCTTATCTTATATAAGGAGCAAAATCACTACAGAAATAGAGGCGGGGGTGGGGGCAGCATTGAATAACCACATGAGCAGAACAGCTGCTATCTCGCTCTAACACACAGCAAAGCAACCATAAGCAGGCCACCGGTACACCTAACAAATTTACACCATTTGAATTACACTTGGAAGATATTATTAAATTCAATTGTTTTTTGGTTTTACTTTATGGATATGTATTCTTCTTTGCCAATTGACTGATTTGCTTGAAAGCACACGCACATAACCTCAAACTCTGCTTGGCCAACACACAGCAGAAGCGGCAGCGACTGCAGCTGAGCCCCGTTGACAAAAATTATGTAACCGTTTCTAATAAAAACACAAATTCTTACAGCAAATACTTCACTTCAATTTTGATTTGATGAGCTTTAAATTAGCAAAATATTGGCACATAGAACACTTAATGTGTTATGTAATTTTTTTTTGCGTGCGGCATTGCGTAACACAAAACTAAAACTTTGGCCAAAACTAAGTCAAATGTAATTGGCAAACGGAAAAGCAGAGCTTGAATTACTCAGACGACTTTAATTGAACATTAGAGTTTGGAGTTGGAATCTATGGCCAATTGGTTTGGGTTATGTATGCTTTATATATTTGCATTTTTGCAACTCTTTTTTCTTGCTTCTTTTACTCGTTTAATTGTTTTATTTTTATACCTGTGCGGCCGCCTTGGGCAAGTTACGTGCGACCGACGATGCCAAACGAGCAGAAATCATCGTTAATTTTTTTTATATTTTAACTTTTTATAAGCCGCAGAAATTATTTAATTCCTACACCGACTGCTCTCCAGACTAGTAGGTATTTTTCACAAAGATGGTTGCCGTTCGGCTCACGTTCGCTGTACGTCTGTGTGGCCAGAGTCGTACGAAATGAGCCAACGATACTATCGATAAGATTGAGAGCAACGTTATTGCGCATATCGATAGGTTATAATATCAGCTGAGCACTGTACATAACAGCAGCATGTTGCTCACTAACATAAGGAACTCCACCTGCCTAACAGTGCGCAGCATAGACAGCGGTATGTTGGGCGTGGAGAGTTTTCAACTGTTAGTTGGCGTGTTCGGCAGGCGGCGGTTTTGGGCTGGAAAGCGCACACGAGAGCGCCCAGCATCCTGCGCAACTCTACACACGCACACAATTGAGTGCCCCAGCCGAAGAGGAGGCCTCACTGAATCTCAGTACTAAATTGTAGAGCCATCCACAAGCACTCGCCAGTTCATAGTCGGAGTCTGTGCGGTGTTGTGAACGCGCAACGCGGAGATGAAAATATACACAGAATGAAAAAGAAATGTAAGAAAGGGAAATACAATAAAGTGAATATAAAAATGTAAGCGTGTGGACCGAGTGAACGCAGTCGTGGAAAAAATAGCTGAAATTTAAATCGTTTAATATGTGCGTGCGCGAGTTTCAACGAATAACGGGCGAATAAAAGAAGCAAGTGAAAAACGTGAATAACTGTAAATAAAAGTGCCGCACTTTAGCCGAACGTCGTTCAATGCGTGGCAGGATTTTAATGTGATTTCGGCAATTTGCATTTGTATTGGTGCGGAAAAATTACGGTAAAACTTGAATTGCTGCAAAGCGAGCCAGCTGTTTGTGGGCCAAAAAGCAAACGCAATTAGGCAGGCGAAAATTCGAATTGGTCAGCGGGCGGGCCATCTTTGTTTCGTTGTGCCGTTATTCCGTTTGGTTCACGCTGTCAAATCGATGCTAAATGCTGACGATGATTGCCACGTGCTAATGGGTATCATGTTCGCACATGTCCACGCCTCCCCTCTCGCTCTATCGCTATGTCGGCAATATCATCATCATCAGCTCGTTAGCCAAGTGCAGGCGACTGACGGAAAGTAAAAGCGAAAGCGGAAAAGTGAAAGGATTAACGGCACTTGCAGGCGCTAGCCTCGCCAAATTATGCAAACAATGCGCTGAAAAGAAACAGCAGCCGTAGCAGCAGCAGCAGCAGTGGCAGCGACAGCGTTGCCAATTATTAAAAAAAAAGATAATATATAGACAGCCAGACAACAAAGCGTAGCCAAGACAAAGGACAATAGCAATAGTAATAGCAGCATCCAATCTCGAAAAAAGAAAATAAAAGGAAATAGCAATAAAAACGTTACAAAGTGCAGGCGGCCAGAAAGGGAAAGCAAATCCTCAGCAGCGACAGTTAAAAAAAATAATAAGAAAAAAAAAACAACTGGAAGTTTTGTGTTTGTCTTGCAACAACAACAAGGCGAACGTGTGCGAAAAATTTGTCATCAGGCTGGCAGCGCCCGCGTGCGCGTAGAACAAAAGAAAGACCGTAGCAAACGTTCCAAGCAAAAAAAAAACATACCAATACATAGACGCACACACACACGCAGACACACACAGAAACAGACGCACTCACGCGCACATTGCGAGGCGCATAAGCTTCGCACTTGACTTGAACATTAAACGTGTACGGCTCCCCCCCCACACCTCTTGTATTGTTACTGTTAGCCAGCCACCCTCTCTCACTCACTCTCTTTCTTTGCACAGCATGGAAATCATCGCAGCTTACTTGATTCTGCTTCTGTTGAAAATTTCGCCGTACCGGCCGCCGCAGGTTGTCGCGGTTTGCATTGTGCGTCTGTGAGTGAGTGAGGCGAACGCGCTTCGAACAGTTTTGATAGCTGTCAACGTCGCGTCGTGTTGTTGTTGTTGCGGTCGTTGGCTCGCACTATTGTTGTGTGAGTGTGTGCTAGTGAGTGTGTGGCATAGTTTTTTAGCACTTGGCACCAAGGTCAGCCAGCAGCAGCATGCAAATAGTAAAGCGTCTAAGCAAAAACAACAACACTAAAACAAAGCTAACGCCAACGCCAGCAGAACAAGGAGCAGCAGCAGCAGCAATAGTGGGCCGCAGCAGCCGTCGCAGCATAAATAACTGACGTCGCCGATTCGCCTTCGCCTTCGCCGTCGCCGTCGTCACACGCAGCGAAAATGTTTGAGAAATATGTCGCCACATATGTGCGCGTGTGTGAGCAAGTGAAATTAAAATTCCCGCATGCCTAATGAATTCTCGCGCTCTCTCTTTCTGCAAAATGTGCCAAGCAGCAACAGCAGCAACAGCAACAACAACAAGAACAAAAGCTTTGTGTGTGTCAGTGTCTTGTTATTGTATTTGTGTCGCTGAATTCTAAATGATGGACGCCGCATACTAAACAATGGCGTGTTAACCAACAACAACAACAGCAACAACAGAAGCAGCATTAAGCTGAAAGTGAAACGGAGCGTTGCTGATAAGTACAGCATAAGCGCAAATAGGAAAATAAAAACAACAAAAAGCAAAAGCAAAAACAAAACGAAAACAAAGGATCAGTTGGCAAAGCGTAAACGGCAAAGCTATTGGAAAATCTATTGGAAGTGAGCTGCATGCAAGTAAGTGAATTTTATTTCTCTCTCTCTCACTCGTTCCCGTTTACTTTGAGCTATGTAACTGTTAAATATGGTTAAAGAACTTGTAAGGCGATTAATTTTGCAAGCATTTGTATTCAATGAAAGAGTTGTTGAAGTGTTTTAGGTGTCGCAGTAGCAATACCCTGTAATAAACGTATATTGAAATAATGAGCGATGGTATATGTTAGATTGTTATTGTTATTTTTTCTCAATATTAAATTATATAAACAGAATATAATTTAAAGTTAAGTTTAAGATCCCCTGCTCATACACCCTGTAGCAGTGGGGTATTAGGAGTTCATATGATATCAGTAAATGATATAGCAATTCAACAAAGTTTTTAAACTTTTAAGTATGAAAAAAAAAAGAACTAAAAAGTTCGAACTGCTGCTGACAGAGAAAACTGCTTTTCATATGCAAATTTTGTTTGTGAGCTTTTATTACTTTATGATAGACTTTTTAAGAGGAGAGCCTCCTTATATCTGTCATCAGTTAAGATTCCTTAAAATATTTTCTTGGCGGCGACAAATTATTCATGGAATTTACACATATTAAGTTATTCTGTATTGATATATGGATACACATAGTTCAATATAGAAGCATTTTACATTTTAAGCATATTTCACAAAAGATATTTTGTGCCAAATTGCGCAAAAGCAATGTAGCCAATGCAGCAATATTAAATTTTCCGGCCAACTTGCAATTTGCTGAGATGGAAAAATAACATTGTTTTACCAGCAGTTCAATGCATTTAAATGTCAACTATGTGACATACAAACTTACAATGTATATGTATATATGTGGATATGTACTTCTATATATAAATGTTTTTGTCGTTCAAGTTTATTATCAGTGTGTAAATGAACTAGTCAAAAGCCATGCAATATGTAAATATACGCACACACACACGCTCAGTCACTCACGCATTTATGGAAATTATGAAGCAAATTGATTTTCCAATTGCGGTTGCCAAGAGCACACACACACACACACACATAAGCACACCCGCACAACTGTTGAACTGAAGAACTAGAACTTTTATAATAAGATCTACAAACATGACAAGAGATGTGCAAATAAATATCTACATATGTATATGAGTACATACACACACACGCACACATACATATAAAGTCGCGCATTGCAGTTGAAATCACTTCACCATCATTTCCTTCGAATCGAAGCGTGTGCGAGCGCGAGAGTAGGAACGAAGAGGGTGGGGGGCAAAACCAATTAAAATTATTTGCCAGCCAGGCAAAGGGCAAAGGCGCTGCCGAATGGCAAATAAATAAACGTGGCTCTCGCAATGTTGTGAACTGAAATAAAATGAAATGTTATGAAGAAATGTGAATGGTTACGCAGCAGTACACACACACACACACTCACACACATACAACAACAACAGCCACACACACACACACACACATACCCCAGTCATCTTCACGCTCTGTTTTGGCAGTGTCAGCCCCCATCGTAAATAATGCGGGACCTTAGAGAAGAGAAGCGCCCATTTTGAAGCTTATGCTTTGACTGTGATTCTGTTGCTCCTCCATCTACTGTTCGTCCTCCTTCTGCTCGTCTCCTGGCGCTGCTGCTGCTGCTGCTGCTCCTGCTGTTGCTGCGTGGCGTCCTTTTCGTCCATTGCAGCGGCGCATAAAAATGTTAATTTATGTCGGCTGCGCCTCGCCGTTTGCATATATATATATAAGAATATATATATGTGTGTATATATAAAAGATATATACTTCTTTGTAGATTCTTATTTTGGCTTTTTCAGATGCTGTTCGTTTTGAAAAAAAGAGATGTTCACATAAAAAATAAGAAGCAGAGAACCAAAAATAATAAAAGTTGCTAGCATTATGCAGATAAGAACTGTTTGTATACCCTGTAAATTGTTAAGTGGAGCATGCTGATGAGCGTCCTTTCTTTTCCCAATTCGATCTAATATCTGGTATTATCTATCTATCTATCTATCTCAGTATTGCCATATAAATCACATTCTATATTCCACATCCCATTAAGTATGCTACATATATTTTCTACACCTTCTTCCTCTACACTTTCTAGCTGATCTCTTGTAGAGTTATAGCTGTAATACAGACCTTTGTTAGATAGTGATATTTTCTCGGTATTCAGCCTCTCCTTGATTGATGCCATAGTCTTATCATTAATTTTCTACTCGATTGACCGAGCGTCGCTCTGATGCTGGGTATCTCTTGCAGCATTTCTCTCAATCGCTACTGAATTACTTGTCTTTATTCATATTGTTGATTTTTATTTTGTTTCTTTCGTTCGCTGTTTTGTTTTTGGGGCTCTGCGGCTATTTGGTACGTGACTGTGTCCCTAAATATTACGAGGCAAACAGTTGGCCAATCCGCTGGCGCTGGCTACAAATTTGAGTAGATATTTTCCATTGAAAT